CTTAATACATTCTCAACATAATGTACCTACCTACATAATTGAGAGTTTTTAGATTATTGTATCTCTGTTATATATTTGCATACTATAAATGTATATTTCTGGCATGATTCCATGGTCTGTGTGTCATCAGTGACATTCTCAGGAGGGCTAGAACCCAGAGCCGTAAAGCCAGTAAAAAAAACTGTGACATTTTGTTTTAGATAGTGTTGCCATAACATTAAATGAAGTTGTTACATAGTACTGTGATTGAGATAATGTATTATTGTAGGAAGTTCTTTGTAAGAGAGTTATTTTCAACCATATTACTTTTATTTTTATTATTGCTGATAGTATAGTTATTACTAATAATAACTTAATATAAAAATATTTTGTGTTTGTATGTTGTGTTGATAGTCTTACAAAGTGTATACAAAAATAGTATGAATATAGTAAATGGCAACACTTGAATAGATTAAAATGATTTAAGTCATTTGATATTCCCAAAAATGTTTGTTTTCTTCTGTGGCTCTAATTAAAAAAAATTTTTATGAAAAATCGTAGAAAAATAATATACCTCATTTTATATACAACTTATTTCTAGACGCAATAATTTTTGCCAACAATTTTTTCCCTTGTTCTTTTGATACAGGGCCCTTCTAAGGCACGCTACTCCACTGGGTTCATATATGGCGCTTTCTAACTCTGAGTACTTGCACAGGCACAACCTAGTAGTCAGAATTCTACACCAGGAGCTCGCTCTGAAATACAGTCTCGTGGAGCGTATATGTGGGGGCACGGTAGTGCCCCCGCCAAGTCGAGCAAAAAAGCGGCACGGCCGTACCATCCTTTTCTCGAAGCAATTCAGGCCATTTTCGAAACTCTATAACTTCGTTGTGAATAAAACTATAGCCTGAATTTACTACAATATCTAATTTTTTCTACGTGGTAGAGCCATGCTGCAGCTATATTATGGTTGTAGCACGAATGGGTCGGCTCGACCGGGGAAGGACCACGCTCTCACAGAAAACCAGCGTAAAATACCTAGCAGCTAAACGCTGCTGTGTTTCGTATGGTGAGTGTAGAGAACCGGAGACCCTTTTTATTGGCAAAGAGGCATTCCATCTTAGTCCTCACGGGTGACAACGCATCTGCATCTTGAGTCTTTATTGAGGATGGGATGTAGATGTCTATGGGTCACAGTAACCACTTACCATCAGGTAGACTGCGTGCTGGTTTGTCACCCGATCCTATAAAAAAAAATTTAATATAATATGTATTACTTGAGAGATACATTATATTTTCATGCGATGGCCCAGTAATCTATTTATTTAAAATATAAAAGAATTTAGTATTAATGTGGTCACTATAAGATGTTGTTAGGTTAGCTAATTACGTAATAACTTAAGACAGAAGGACCCTTTGGTGGTTTTATTTTTAATTAAATTTACTGGTGACTGAATAAATTAACCTACTTGGTATTACATGGATCTCATAACTTTTTACGGTAGAACTGGGTTGCGAGACTTGGTTTGTTTTACAAGTTATGTTTTTGATGGCATTGCCGTATTACTACTTGCTCGAAAACGACCGCGCCAGGCCTACTGGGACCGGGCCATCATCACAGACAGGACTATTCTTGCGAATAAGCCTGATATTGTGCTGATGGACCGGGTCAAGGATATTTTTGATCGACATTACTATTCCGTATGACGAGAACCTCGTGAAAACCGAAACAGATAAGCGATGAAAATATCTGGACCTGGCTCACGAGGTAACCGACATGTGGTGTAGACCAGGGGTCCTCAACCCTGGGGTCGCGACCCCATTGTGAAAGTTGTGTTTGTTCCAATAAATGAACATCGCTTGGAGAGGTTTAGAAGTAATATAATAAAAAGACTTCCATCACTTTCGTTTAAAAATAGTGCTAATTATTTGTATGCTACATTATTTGAAATTATAAGTTGTGAATTTAGTAGAATATTTACTTCTAAAACTTTCTCTTTTAACAGTCGCAAATCATTTAATGAATGGGCGACAGTAGGAATTTATAAAAGTAGGCGAAGGTTATACGAGCTTTATGATGAAAGATCATATAATAGTAGTGTTATATTTAGAGATTATGTAAAAACATATTCTAAAATATTTAAAAAAGTGTGCTCCATTGCTAAGGCTTTACATTTAAGCAACAAAATTAAAACTGCATCCGACAAAATTAAAATGACCTGGAGAATAATAAATAGTGAAACGGGCAAGGTCAAACCGCGCAACTCGGATTTTCAATTGAATATTAACAATAATTTAACGCGATCTGATCAAGAAGTTGCTATGGCTTTTGAGAAACATTTTACTGATGTTCCTTTTTTGACAATAAAATCATTAAATTCTTCTCCTACTGTCGCCGAATCATTGCTCAAACAAAATGTAAAGGCTTGTTCAAATACTTTTAAATTCCATAGAGTACTGCCAAAAGATATCGTTAAATATTTTAAAACTATTGATGTTAAGAAAACGGCAGACTTATGGGGGATTTCCGTTAAAGTTATTTTATCTATAATAGATATATTAGCACCTTATCTAGCCACTATATTTAATATAAGCGTCGAATCTGGTGTGTTTCCTGATTTAATGAAACATAGTAAAGTCATACCTATATTTAAATCTGGTAGTACATTAGACCCCGCCAATTTTAGACCAATTTCTGTACTACCAACATTAAGTAAAATTTGTGAGAAAATTATTTTAGATCAGATGTCAAGTTTCTTTAACATTAATAAATTGCTACATAAAAAACAATTCGGTTTTACAAGGGGTCGCTCGACAACTGACGCTAGAGTTGACCTTATTAAACATATTTTTTGTGCATGGGAGAATTCAGAGGATGCTTTGGGTATATTTTGTGACCTTTCCAAGGCCTTCGACTGTGTTCACCATGAGACATTAATCAGGAAGCTACAGTACTATGGTGTCAAGAACACAGCGCTCAAACTTATTATGTCATATTTAAGTAATAGAAAACAGAAGGTTATTATCAATGGTAAAAGTTCTTCCGGGTCACCTGTACTAATGGGTATTCCTCAGGGCTCGATTCTCGGCCCATTCCTGTTTCTGGTGTATATTAATGACTTACCTCACCTTGTAGGGGATAGTCATGATATAGTATTATTTGCTGATGATACTTCCTTGATTTTTAAACTTAAACGTCAATCATTTAAATGTGACGAAGTGAATAATGCTATATCAAAATTAGTGCATTGGTTTAACGTTAATAATCTGCATTTGAACGGAAATAAAACTAATTGTGTTAAATTTATAACAACGAATGTTAAAAATCTGAATACCATTGTATTTTTAAATGGGAAGGAATTGAGCCCTGTTGTATCCACTGTTTTTCTTGGCATTACTCTTGACGCAAAGCTCCAGTGGGGCCCCCATATATCCAAATTAGCAAGCAGACTAAGTTCTGCAGCCTATGCTGTGAAAAAGATTAGAGGTCTCACTAGTGTCGAGACAGCTAGATTTGTTTATTTTAGTTATTTCCATAGCATAATGTCTTATGGGATTTTGCTATGGGGAAATGCGGCTGATTCAGAAACTATTTTTGTTTTACAGAAGAGGGCCATTAGAGCTATTTACAATCTAAAACCGAGAGAGTCTCTTAGAGATAAATTTAAAGAAATTAATATATTAACTTTGGCCTCTCAGTATATCTACGAAAATTTAATGTATGTTCACAAAAACAAAGATAGTTTTAGCAAAAAAAGTGATGTACATTCTGTAAACACTAGGAACAAACACAAGCTAGTGATGCCAGTTTCTCGACTCCACAGAGTCAGTAATTCATTCTTGGGGCAATGTATACTCTATTACAACAAGGTCCCGGAAAGTGTACAGGTTCTCTCTATTACCAAGTTTAAATGTTTTATTAAGCTGAAACTGTATAAAAAGGGTTATTATAGTATAAATGAATACATGGTTGATAATAACCCCTGGGAATGAGGTGGTCGCTTCCAAGCAGTTTCTAAAAAAATTTTGTAAATTGTTCGTAATCATTTATATTGTAAAATTTATTTAAAAAAATGTCCCGCTGGGTTTCTTACTGGTTCTTCCCAGGACAGAGGGTTTTTTTCGAACCAGTGGTAAAGTAAAAAATGACTTTCAATAAGAATTACACATGTAATGTATATTGAATAAAAAATATTCTATTCTATTCTATTCTATGGGGTCGCCAAAAAAGTCAAAAAGGTTCTGTATTTATCGAATTTTATTAAGGTTTATGCATAAAATATAACCTCTTTTTACATACACAATTACACAATGTCCTTAAAACCGAGAGAATCGAAAATAATTACGACTGTACGACCTGTCCAGTCTCGCCGGTCACAACCTCACCGCTCCTGCGCCCGCGCCCCCACCCCGATCGCTCTTTCTTCGTTCAGTCTGTCTGTTCAGTCAGTTCTATCCGCACGTGCGTACTCATCACCGCTTTGTCGATTGCAAATACATACTAAATTGATGTCAAAACACGGAAGATTACTTCTGTAGAAAGTTTTTTAGAAGATTAGTGTTCTCGTGGATAACCACGCACACGGTAAGTAACTGTGCACTCATACTTAGAAAATAAAGTGAGGCGTCATCGCAGCGCGGCCATGTTGGACGCGTGGGTTCAATAACAAAACTAGCGCGAAATATTTTTTACGCTTCACTTATGTATTTTTAGGGTTCCGTTTGAGAAACAAGGAACCCTTATAGTTTCGTCAAGTCATGTTTGTCATTCATACAAACACTATGAAAAACAAAGTTACAACTAACATCCAGTCATATCATTACTTGCTACCACGGAACCCTTCATGGGCGAGTCCGACTCGTACTTGGCCACTTTTTTTGCTTGTCTATTTGTGCTTCGTTGAAAATAAATTTGAAGTAAATCCTGTTACCACGCGAGCATATGACGAAAAATCTAATATTAATCGTTTGGAATACATTTTTTATTTATTAATACGTATTTATTATTGCAGTTAGCAATGGATAAGTGGCTAATAAAACGCACATCTACAGATGCAGGTGGCGGAAGTCCTAATAACGCATCACAAATCAAAAGAATTAAACACGTAGTTCTTGACGACAGTGTCGCCCCAGATTCTACAATGACAACTACTGTTACGAGTAATATAAGTCGTGAGACCAATGCCACCACTTCAAGTACTAGTAGTGTTATTACTATCGATGAAAGCAGAGAAACATCTAGTTCCACTACTATAACTATTAGTCATAACAGCGATGATTGTAGTTCAACAGTCACATCTACCTTACACATCGATACAGAGAGTGACGCTTCAACTTCAACTAAAGAAGCAACAGCTATATCGGAGACAACTGGGAAGCGTCAACGCATTTTTAAAGAATCGTACATCCAGTTTGGTTTTAAATGTACAGTGTTGAATTTTGAACAACGTCCACAGTGCGTTGTTTGTTCGGAGGTTTTGGCAAATGAGAGCATGAAGCCTAGCAAACTGAAAAGGCACCTAGAAACTAAGCATCCACAGTTAAAAAATAAAGATGAATCTTATTTTAAACGACTTGCCACCAAACTAACGTCACAGCAGGTTGATTTCCAAAAATACACAACATTTAACCAAAAAGCCTTACAAGCATCTTTCGAGGTTTCCTTTTTGATTGCCAAAACTAAAAAACCTCACAACATTGGCGAGACGCTCATTTTGCCAGCTGCAATGAAAATGGTTTCGATCATGCAAGGAGAAAAGTATGCCAATTTACTGAAAACAATTCCACTATCAAGTGACACTGTTCATCGTCGTATCAATCTACTTGCTGATGATATCAAAATACAACTTATAGATCGCGTGAAACTGCTCAACTTCTGATATTTATCCGATACCGATATGAAAACGACATATGCGAAGATTTGTTATTTTTTCAGGGATTAGAAGGATGTTCTTCCTGTGAAGCAATTTTTAATGCAGTTAATACCTTTTTTGAACTCCATGACATAAAGTGGGAATATTGTGTATCTGTGTGTACAGACGGCGCAGCTGCATTGACCGGCTCCAAAACAGGATTCAAAGCAAAAGTAACTGAGATTGCACCTCACGTAGGCTTTGTTCACTGTATGATTCACCGTGAAGCCCTTGCAGCAAAATATTTGCAACCAGATGTAAATAAAGTGTTAGAACAAGTCGTAACAATAATAAATTTTATTAAAGCTCGCGCCTTAAACAGTCGCCTTTTCAAAATAATGTGTCGTGAAATGGGATCAGAATACGAAAATCTACTGTTACATACGGAGGTCAGGTGGTTATCGCGAGGAAAAACACTCCGACGTGTATTTGATCTCAAAGATGAAATCAGAATATTTCTACTTGAACGGGAACCAAAGCTAGCGGAATATTTTTTGAATGAAAATTGGTTGGCAACAGTTGGCTATCATTCGGATATTTTTGAAAAACTTAACGATTTAAATCAATCGTTGCAAGGTAAGAGTACAAATGTATTGATTTTAGCTAACAAAATAAAAGCTTTTTGTAGGAAAATAAGTTTGTGGATAGACGAAATCAGTGCTGAAAACTACGAGATGTTTGCATGTTTGGAAAAATTTTCTGAAGAAAACAATATAAAGCTCGAAGAAGAAATTAAAACCAAAATCATGATGCATCTTACAAACCTTAAGCAAGACTTGGAAATAAGAGTCCCAGATACGTCACACGGCGACCAATGGATAATTATTCCATTCACTTGTGATCTTAACACTGTGAAGATGAACTTAAAAGAAAAGGAGCAGCCGATCGATTTAATGTCCGATGAAAGCCTTCGATCTATTTTCAAAACCACAGATCTATCCAAGTTCTGGATAATGACGGAAAAGGAATATCCACTGTTATTCAAAACATCTCTGCTGAAATTGCTGCCATTCGCATCTACATACCTTTGCGAGACAGCTTTCTCCACATTAACTGCTATAAAAACAAAATATCGCTCCAGACTTAACGTAGAACCTGATTTGAGGGTGTCTGTTTCTGATAATATATCACCAAGAATTAATATACTGACTGCAAGTGTGCAAGCACAAGGTTCACATTAGATTGTAAGGTTACGTATATGTACCTTCTTTTTTAAATAAAATATTAAAATAATTGCTTGTCTCATTTAATGCCATCATAAATATTACTCGTATGTTAAATGCATATTTTCTAGTTTGCTCTAATATTACTTTCCAAAATAAATAAACTCTTCAATATAAATAATTTACGAAATAAAAACAGCTAACTTCGTTACCTGAACCAACCTTTGCACTTGTTAACTTAGTGGTTTTTTTTCTGGGGTCGCTCATAACTCTTTTTTGAATTTTGGGGTTGCAATATCAAAAAGGTTGCGGACTGCTGGTGTAGACTGCCGACCGAAATTATATCTGTAGTCGTTTATGCGAACGGGTTAATCCCAGTCAGCCTCTCGGGTCATCTGAGGCGACGGGACTCCGTGACGGAGTCCAAATGCATAAAGCGGTGCTCCTCGATACCACCCGCATGGTCCGCCGGTTTCTTTTCCTTTCTCCTAACACTCGGCCGTTTGGTCTTCCCTGCCGAGCCCTTCAATCTGGTTGGGTTTTATTTATTTATGATTTTTTTATGTATTTATTTTATTTTATTGATATTTATCATTCTCATTTACAATTATATATTTATACAGCCCAACCAGATGAGAAAACTATATAAATACCCAAATAATAATAATAACAATTTATTTCAATAAACTGTACAATTAATTCAAATAATGTCTTAATTTAAAATAGGTAATCTACAATAACAGGCACCTGAACTAGGATAAACCTGTATCTCGGGTGTATGTGCTAATAGATATATTTACAAATATTTTCTGTTTCTTATATAAAATGAATAACATACTAACTAATCAGAGTTATTTCCGTAAAATATATTATCATTAAGTTACTTATGATTTTAATTAACTTAAAACAATTATATTACTGACATGAGACACAACTACACAACACACACTCTTTTTCTCCTTTAACACTTTAAAATACTCTTATACGTTTTAAACAACACAACGGTCATTTGCATATTATGTCAAATATAGTTCCCGGTCAAAGACATTTCTCGAATCGGAGAAATTCCGTACCGAAAAATAACGTACGTGTGTGGCGGGTCATAGATTTTATATGGACTTGCTGCGTTCGGAATCCCGAATCGGAATATCAAAACGGAATTCCGTATGTATGTGGCCGGCCTTAAGTAATAGTAGTAGTAATAGTAGTATACCTATATATTTAAATCTCTTTGATCCCGGTACACTCAATAGTGGCGTTTCAAATCGGCACAAACATTTTGTATGACTTGAGCAGTCCAGTCTATAGCAGAATAAATGGACGTCAGTGGTTACCAAAAAACTTGTCTAAAAAGTAGTCACCCACTTTTAAAGCCCGTGTTGTTAAAAATTTCTAACAACGCCCTAGAAAAATAAGTCCCGCTGGGTTGTTTGTCGGTTCTACCTAGGACAGAAGTTTTTTCGAACCAAGCAAGCAAGTGCCTTTTAACAAGAATTCTTGTAATCTATATTGAATAAAAATCATTATATAATGTAGAGAGTAATTTAAGTAATTGTTTAATTTTTTAAAAGCAGTAAATGTAGAAAACCACTTTGAAGAAAATTTTTAGATTATCAATACGCATAAAAAACAGTTACATTGGAAGCAATTAAAAATCTGTAATGTGCTTGTAATGTGCTGTAAATTGTGCTTAGTAAGATTATAACTCAAACCTTGAGATTTGAGCTTAGATGCCTTTTAGATAGGTAACATACGGTCGTATTATTCTTTATACTTATTACTTAGTTTAGTGATAAAAAGAAAAATAATGTTTAAAATAATGTAAAAAAAAGCCTATAACTGATTCAGCAACACAAATTACCTGCCTAATAAAGACTTAACTCGTAGTATATTCGATTAACTGCCAACCACTTCCACGATAATTAGAAGCTTAACAGCCAACTAGTGGTGTAAACAACAGTATTTTAGGAGAGCCGTAAATCGGGCAGTCAACTGAAAATTTAAACTTAAATTGCTGCAACAAGTTTCAATTTTAACTATAAACTTGGTTGTTAGTTTAACTGCCATCTGTTGTCGAGTAGTCGCATTACATAAATTTTATGTACAGTTAAATATATGAGTAATAATTTTAAAAAATGTTTTAATCAGTATGAATTATTTACAAAAACTTAAAAGTTAAAGAAATTCTAAATTAAATTAACATAATTATTTAAAATAATAACCTTACACATGAAGCTGGCAATGTTTCAGCTTCCGTCATTCGCCATAAACTTGGAGCATACGTAGTATCCACTAAGTAGTCTGTGCTTGGAGCATAGATATTTATTTCTATTCCTTTTCTGACGTTGCTGTCAAACAACAAAAACAGCACGTGTAAAAATGCGTATAGAAACTTGTTATTTTTGCTCATCCAGGATATATCCTGGTCATGGGATTCAGTTTGTGAGAAATGATTGCAAGGTAATATTATTTTCCCAGATATTCATTTCATTATTTACGTTTAATAATACAATTACGCCACACATTCAACCGCTTAAAGATTTTCAGATTTTGCCGTTCAAAATGCCATGCAGCATTTAAAAAGAAGAAAAACCCACGTAAAACCAAATGGACTAAAGCTTACCGTAAGACTGCTGGTAAAGAACTGGCGATTGACCCTTCGTTCGAATTCGAAAAGCGTCGGCACATACCGGTGAAGTATAGCCGAGAATTATGGGAGAAAACCATTGAAGCAATGAAAAAAGTAGAGGAGATTAGACAAAGGCGGGCAAATAACTATATTATGCAGAGATTACGAAAAGGCCGTGAAGTTGAATGGCAACGGGACGTTAGAGAAGTACAAAGGGACATTTCGCTTATTAGGTATGATTTCATGGTGCAATTCTATTTTTATTGAATTAAATCAGAATACGTAGATCTATTCTAGGTATTGTTTAACATTAAATAGAAGAAATTTATGCTTGTTTATGTGAGATATTATAAAATATTTGTTTTAAATAGTAGTAAAGTAAAGAATATCATCCAGTTGTTGTCATAAATGCTACAGAGGAAAATAAATCAGGAAACTAGCAGCAGTATCTTCCTAACAACAACTCTAATTAATGATGAAAAAAGAGTAATAATTATACCTACATAGTACAGACCTAAAAAGAGGACAGCCTGATATGCTGCTCGTATGTTAATTGGCAGAGATCACATATTCACAATATAGAATAGAACCACCATTCTTTGATATATTACATAAGAAATTTATCTTTTAATTCAGTAAACTGAATTGTATACAGTAGTAATCAGGCTTGCAGTTCATCTTATGTCTGAGTGTTTAAAAACAAAACAAGACTGCATAATTCTAAAAAATAATTTTTCAGACATGTATGTTTAAATGAAACTATTTTTATGGATTTTATAGCATTTAATTTAACTTTCTAATTCCCAACATTTTGTCGCACCCGTGACCATGGGTGCTGTTAATAGTGAGTGAATAGAGAATACATCTGTGCTTGTCCACACACTCCTGAGAAATAATCCTGTCCTGTGCAGATGGCTAGCGTATATTCTTTTTAGTAGTGCTTTGGTAAAATTTGACGATGACATTGTGGGAAACTGATGAGTTTAATTACGAGTATTCTTTCAATGAGACTGGCCGCCGTGACCAGTCTCAACGAAATTATATTTTCAGCAAAGGATCATCAGTGCTACCAATAGCATAGATTTGTGATGACAATGTCCTTTTTTAATTATAAATAATATATTCCAGATCACCAGCAGCTGGCCTCAAACAAAGACAAGCTGAAGAGGAAACGGAAATGGAAGTTGAACCTGAAACAATTGAAGTTATTGATGCTAAGGGTTGCAAACAGGTTATTGAGGCTCCGGTCATGGTGCCTGCCACTGGAGAAATGATTGAAGATGGTGGTGACATAGAACTATGATACATAGAGAGATAAATATACTGTTGCTTATAACTCATTATTGTCTGTGACATTAGCATTGCATTAAAATGGACTTTAAATTTACGGCATATACATTTCATTGTATCAAAATATCTTATTAATCTGAAATGTCATGAAACAAAACGATAGAATAAAAAGTATGATCAAATAATTAAGAACTTCATATTTTATATTTTGCTTTGTTATTATTTGCTTTGTATTGACATAAGAGAATCCAGTATGGTCACCCGAGGCAAGTGTGACATAAATTAATTAAATAATAATGGACATTTGAATACTTCTACTCTGTAAGGATTTAACATAGAGAAACCTGTTTCATAACATCAATTATTAAGTGCTTGTATAAGGGATTTTAGTGGACTGTATGAATTTAATATTGCAAATGGACTGTATGACTAATTACTACGCTAGGGGACTGCTCAAAGAAAAGATGGTACTGTAGAACTATACTGTATTCAACTATTTACAGTGCGGCACTATTAACTATACAACTATATATACAGAGAGGGGTCTTCACTCTTCTATGGAGTCTTGATTTCTCTTGAGGTTTCTTCTAGTGCCGCTCCCGAAATGAACGACTCACAGACCAAAACGCCCTTCTTATATCCCGCAAGAGAGCGTCTCAGTATGTGAGTAGCGTCGTAAGGCGATGCCGCGCGCTGATTGGTCGGCGACATCGCGAGATCTGCTGCCGGGGTGCGGGGTGCGCGGGGCGCAACGGGGTATGAAGGGGTGGCGGCCTCCTTCCCCGTCCGCTACAGCTTGTTTGTTTGATCAAGCATTTTAGTATTTACAAGTAGCATTTTGTAATTTAAAGTAGTTAATACTAATTGAGGTGGAAGACTGTCACACTTCTTCTTCGATCGAGATTCTTTATTGAGGATAAATGTAGATGTCTATGGGCCGCAGCAACCACTTACCATCAGGTGGACTGTGTGCTCGTGTGTCACCCTATCCTATTAAAAAAATGTATAATAAAAATTGCCTTAAATTTCTGCATAGGGTTCATGAATCAGGGAATAGGAGATTAAAATTTCTAAATATAATACTTTATATTAATCAAGATAAAAACAATAATTTAAATGCCAGGAAAAAACCGACGTTCGAGTTTATTTATTTATTTATTTATTTTTACCACTTACAACTATCATCACAGGTGTATTACCTAATACAATAGTGCAGTTACAAACTAAGAAACTAGACAAACATAAATAGGTATATTATGCACAACTTAAAGATATTTTACAATAAGCGGCCTTTGTGAATTCGTTCAGAGTACAGCTGAACAAATCAGTATGTTGTGAGACCACGTTAAGTGCACGAAGTGCGCGCGTCAAAGCCGTGTGCTGTAGCAAGTTGGTGCGCGCTTGCGGCACCAACAAGAGCGGCGGCCGCCGCCGTCTTCCTACGTACTCATTAGGGACACACAGCTCAGCTATCTGTAAAATACCTGGGTTATGTATTTTACCACGGATCACTTTTAGTAAGTAAGTGGCGAGAGCAACTTCCCTTCTTATTTCTAGTTTATAATAGCCTATCATGCCTAGTATAAATAAAGTAGGGTACAAAAGTGGATAACCCGGGTACACACCATACTGTTTTAAATACATAAATCTCACAAATTTGTTCTGAATACGTTCTAGCATTAATTTATATTTGACTTCATGTGGTGACCAAACAACAGCATTGCATTCTAAATGACTTTTTACGAGTGCCTCGTATAATGCTCTCAGAGCACAGATGTTTGTGAATCTGTTGGCTAGCCGTAAGACCATCCCTAGGTTGCGGTATGCTTTTTTACAAACATTAGTAACGTGTTTTCGAAATTGTATGTCAGTAGTGAATCGCACACCTAAATCATTAACCTCAAAAACTCGTTGCAGAGGGGTTCCATCCATATAGTATTGATTATGACTCGGGTTATATGCACGGCTGAATGATAGAATAGAACATTTCTCCGCGTTGAAATATAATTTATTTTCCAGACTCCACTCTACGACTTTTGTTATATCCTGCTGTAGCATATCATGATCCGCCCGCTGCTTTATTTTTAAAACTAATTTCAGGTCATCAGCAAATAACAAGGGTGTAGACTTATTGACTACTTCAGGCAAATCGTTGATTGTCAGAATAAAGAGAAAAGGCCCTAAATTACTGCCCTGACTGACACCTGATCTTGTAGAGTTCTCGTTTATAGTCTTCAAAAGTACAAGGAAATTTTAAAAGAATGCATTTGAGTGTTAACTTAGACGACTCTATTAATCTCACAACAGTTAAGAGGGTAATAAAATATAGTAAGGACAAATAACCTGTTTAATATTAACGTAATCTATTGACGTAATTAACACGAGTACGTTGTTTGTTTCGTTGCTCAGAAAGAAAACGCAGGCGCTTCAAAAATAAGCATATATAATATTTTTTCGATAATATGAAAGGTATATTATTGACTTCTATTTTTCATTGGATACATTTTTATTTAGATCCTTTATTTTCTGATAATATACGAATGTCCCGCGCTTACTTCGTGCTGGACGCTTATGTATGCCGCAGAGAAGGGAGGAAATCCTTGCCTTAAGAAAAGGTAAGTTTGCTAGGTGCAAAATTGCTGCCGCAAAAAGGTGACATACGTATACAAGCATAAAATAGCTACGACTAATGAGAAAACCGCCTCGGAAACCTGAAATAGCGTATGTTTGGTGAGTGCGGTCAATCCCGCATGCTTTTTCCACTGGTTATTATACTCCGACATTTCTGGCAGTATCCAAAGTGTCTTACGAGACCCACGGGACGAAATGCGGCGATAGTCACCACCACCACGTCCATCCATCCAGCCATTACAGCCTTTAAAATTCCATTGTTAAACATAGGCCTTCCCACAGATAGAGCCTCATAGAGTAGAGGGGATTTCGACATAGTTACTACGCTTGGCAGGCGGGTTGTCATCCGCAGTTATTTGTTATTTTAAGTTACCAGGAATGATGCCGCTGGCCATCACCACGACCAGCCATTCGACCACGATAAACTCGACTCAGTAGCCAAATTTTAACCGCTTCTGGCAAAGCTATATTAAGTAAAAATTAGTTATATCGTGGCAACTTAAGATGACGGATTAGAACTCCTAGCATTATATTTTAGTACCTTGTCCATACCTTAATATATTATAATGGGCTACGTGGCTCTAAAATCTGATGTTTTCATATACGCAATTTTATATTGCCTGATATAAAAGATATATTGATTTTACAACCTGGTAGACTTTAATCCTCTTAAGTCTATTATCAGATGTCGTAAACATTTTTCCTTAAAGTTTTTAATTGAAAAGAACAGATAATGCGCATTACATCGTTACGTGATTTAATTTTCTTTTTACATGAGTATTTGCACAGTAGATATATTACTTATTTTTTAACTTCACTTTTTATCTAAATAGTAAAGGTTACTAAGTTATTGATAATTGAAAAAGAGACAGTAAACAAGGAGCAAAGCTATGTACCAATAACTGAAAAGGTTGGAGACACCTACCTAATTCAATTATGGGTTGTTACTTTCCATATTATACTGAGTAATAAACTTAGTCTTACACTTGCATCAGTTAGAGGTCTTTATACGTCGGAGATAATGATGATCAGTTCGTATATTTTTGGTTTCATCGTCGCAATTGTTTCCTACTATATGTACACGAGTTATGTGAATACGTACTCCAGTATAATTATAAAACCCGATAAAAGATACGACTATATTATAGGTAAGTTAATGTTTTTTTTTAAATCCTAATACTTAATTGGTTTTTGTGACTAATTCACCACATTTTCATAGTTTTCTAGTTTTCAAAAAGGATGAAATAATATGATATGAAATGATAATCATTTTAATTATAGACCATCAATTGGCAGTTTTGTTGGTTTGTTTATATTACTATAATGACTATTTCAAAAAGGGGAAGGAACTTAATTCGACTGTATGTTTTTTATGTGTATTACACATATACCTCACAACTTTTTTCTAAGTGAACCGTTTTCGATGATTATTTTTTTTATTTGAAAGCTCGTGCTTCTCATGTGGTCCCATATAAATTTGATCAAGGTTTGACTAATAGTTTTTTAGTTATCTTTAATAATTGAAGTCGTTTGTACAATTTTTTTTTATTTTACCGCTTGTTAAATAATAATTAAAAATTTTGTACAGCCGACTTCAATATAAGTTATTAAGAATAACTCTAAAACTATTGGTCTGACCTTGATCAAATTCTTTTGGGACCACACGAGAAGTACCAGCTTTCAAATAAAAAAAAGAATCAACGAAATCGGTTCGCCCAGTAAAAAGTTATGAGGTAACAGACATAAAAAAAACATACAATCGAATTGAGTACCGTCTCATTTTTGGACAGAAATTGATGTTGCGTCGCTTTTAAAACTTATTATTAAATAGCATGTGCAGACATATTTTGTTTCTCTCTGTCGCCTCTTACGACGATATGGGTAGTGGATACTCGCGTCAGACGTAAAATACACAGCTCCAAGTCGGGCTGCAGATTCAAAGGTGTGAAATGTCAGTTACTACGATTGTCAACCAGCAAGCCAAGCGTGACGATTAAGACAAATATTTTCTAAAGTAAGAGAGGCCAAGGTCGAGGCGTGGAACCGATGAAGAAGACCACGAGACAACCAGCGTAAAGTAGTAGCTTCATACTGCGTGTTTCCTATAGTTAGTGTAGAGAATCGGATACCCTTTTTACTTTTACATCCGCATTTTGATAATTAAAGACAGATCTAAATATCTATGGACCACGGCATCCCTCAGGTGGATTGCCCTATATAGTATATTATCCATGAGATGGACTGTGTGCTCGTATGTTACCCGTATTCTATAAAAACGATATATATGTATAAAGTATAAACTTTTTCTACAAGTACCAATCGCTAATTAATGGACGAGGCTCTGGTCATTGTTTGTTCGAGACCATCGAAAGCCGTTTAACT